TTTTTTTTCTCACCTAAAAAAGGAGGTTGTTTTGCTTATCTCAGTTGTCCAAAACAGTAGCTACTAATGTGGCTAGTGCAACTAAGGAACTGAATTTCTAATTGTACTTAGTTTTAATTAATTTAACATTAAATAGCTACATGTGGCTAGTGGCTACTGTATAGGGTGGGGCAGCGCCAGAATCTTGACACACATAAAGGAGCTTTTTAGGAAGATACAAACAAAAGGCTTAGGCTAGCTCAAAACTTGAACCACATCTGTGATGATTTATAGAATCCTAGGAGGGAAAAGGTTCAAAGGCTATAGTCCAAGATGTGAAGGAAAAGTAGCCTGGGAAGCAGTCTAAATTTTCACAAGTCTGTAGCAGAATCTCACAACTTCCGATTTTTAATGGCCCTCCACATGCAGGATGTGTGACAGGAGGAAGTGTGTTATAGCCTTGATACTCCAAGTGTGGTCCGTGTTTTAGAAGATTGTTATGACTGCCCCACTCCCAACCTACTGAATCAGAATCCACATTTGGAGTTGGGCAGATCTGTGTTCAAATTCCAACTCGGCCACTTACCTGAGCAAGTTATTTAACCTCTTGACCCTCAATTTTCTCACCTAAAAAAGGAGGTTGTTATGAAGATTGAGTCAATGTATAAAAAGAAACTAGCATGAGCTCTGATTTATGTTGGATGATCATTCATTCATTTATTCAGCAAATCATTATTGATTGTCTATTATATTCCAAGGCCCTTCCTGTCCTGTGTTTACCCTTCTAAAACAAAACCCTGGGGAAGAAGAATGTTTTGTTGGGGGTGGGAAGGGAAGAAAATGTTCCCCTTACCAGTTTCAATACTACAAGGTGACCAACTACTGCTCCTCTTGGGATCTTTATAGGCGGAAGATCAGTGACTTCTACCACTATCCTCAGACCGGGTGGGAAGGGAAGAAAATGTTCCCCTTACCAGTTTCAATACTACAAGGTGACCAACCACTGCTCCTCTTGGGATCTTTATAGGCGGAAGATCAGTGACTTCTACCACTATCCTCAGACCTTTAAATAAATAGGGATATGAGAAGGCGGAGAGGGGGAAGATAAGGAAAAAATATAAGAATTAGATCAATAGGCAAGGTTTGTTATTGTTTTACCAACAAATAAAAAGCATTAGAGCTGTCTTAAAAACTAAGCAAAAGCTGTTAGCTGCACAGATTTTCTTTTATTAGGTTCCTTTAATAAAGAAGCAGCAGCCACAGCAATTCTCACCGGAGGTCCCACTGGTAGGAAAGGGAATGCAAGGGGTGTTCTTTTCTGCTCCCCAGGCAAAAAGCGTTTCTCACCCAAGCCAGTAGGTGTTAATCTGCTTAAGCCTGCCTGAGTGGACGTGTTAGATTGCTGGCACACGGCCATTTAGGGGTTTTGTTCCCTGGACCACAGGAGCCCATTTTTCCAAGAGTTCCACTAGCTTTTTGTTTGATAACGTCTATTTCTAGCAGCATTTACTGCTTCAACAACAAATTCAATGGAACAAAAATTTACTGAACACCTACTATTTGGCAGACTCTCTGTTGGGGATACAGAGATGAAAAAGGAACAGTTGCTGTGCTCCAGGGGCTCATACAAAAGTAACTTCTGCTGAATTCTCTCAGGTGATGGCTATTATCATGATGTCTTCCTACTGCTTGGGAAAAAAAAATCCTTTGGCTTCCTTGGCTGCCCTCTTTAAATATCCACTGACCTCGCTGTGCTCTCCTGAGGTCCCAGGGGCTTGAAGGGTTAATCACTCGCTTGTTGTGGCTGGTACATTGTTCTTCCAAACTTCCCACCCCCCTCCAATTCCACTTCCAATTGTAAAATTTGTTTAATGTATTTTATTAATGTTTTTCTTTTTACAGAGGCAATACACATTCATTACAGAAATATACAGATAAGCAAAATAAACAGAAAATTTAAAAATCAGCCTCAATCCCACCACCCAAAGATAACCTATTTTAATAAAACGAGTATTATTTAAAATTATGACAGTAATATAACTTCAAATGAAGTTTAAAACACAGAGGAGGGCAATCACACATAATCTAATCATCTGAGTTGTGATCATTATGGGGGTTTTCCCTTCCGATCTTCTTACGATTCTTATAAATGATACCTAACACATAGCCTGCCCAAGTCATTACATTTTGGGGGACAAACATGGCATAGATGTGCAAAGCAGGAAGGGGTACTTTTAGCTATACTGCCGAATAAGGACACCAGTGATTTTATAGAAAAACATGTTTAGAAGTTTGCTGTAATTGGTTTAAATACTGTTGCTATTGAAAAGTTTCGATCTGGTGATAGAATCTGACCCAAGAAACTTACCTTTCTTGGGATCTGACATGAGAAATACAGAAATATCTAGTGTAAGAAAGACTCACTTAAGAATACTTGGATTTCTAATGAAGAGTGTTTGAATGTCATTT